TATTCTAGTATTCAATACTATTGAATAGTATTCAATACTATTGAATAGTATTCAATACTATTGAATAGTATTCAATACTATTGAATAGTATTCAATACTATTGAATAGTATTCAATACTATTCTAGTATTCAATACTATTCTAGTATTCAATACTATTGAATAGTATTCAATACTATTGAATACTATTCTAGTATTCAATAGTATTGAATAGTAGTATTCAATAATATTGAATACTATTCTAGTATTGAATACTATAATAGTATTGAATACTATTCTAGTATTCAATACTATATTGAATACTATTCTAGTATTCAATACTATTGAATAGTATTCAATACTATTGAATAGTATTCAATACTATTGAATATTAATACTAATAATATTGAATACTATTCTAGTATTAAATACTATTGAATATTAATACTAATAGTATTGAATACTATTCAATAGTATTGAATACTATTCTAGTATTCAATACTATTGAATAGTATTCAATACTATTGAATAGTATTCAATACTATTGAATAGTATTCTAGTATTCAATAATATAGAATACTATTCAATAGTATTGAATACTATTCTAGTATTCAATACTATTCTAGTATTGAATAGTATTCTAGTATTCAATATTATAGTATTCAATACTATTCTAGTATTCAATACTATAGTATTGAATACTATTCTAGTATTCAATAATATTGAATAGTATTCAATAATATTGAATAGTATTCAATAATATTGAATAGTATTCAATACTATTGAATAGTATTCAATACTATTGAATAGTATTCAATACTATATTTCAATACTATTCTAGTATTCAATAATATTGAATAGTATTCTAGTATTAATATATTATTGAATACTATTCAATAGTATTGAATACTATTCTAGTATTCAATACTATTGAATAGTATTCAATATTCAATAGTATTGAATACTATTCTAGTATTCAATACTATAGTATTCAATACTATTCTAGTATTGAATACTATTGAATAGTATTCAATACTATTCTAGTATTGAATACTATTCAATAGTATTGAATACTATTCTAGTATTCAATACTATTGAAGTATTAATACTATAAGTATTGAATAGTATTCTAGTATTAATACTATTAGTATTCAATACTATTCAATAGTATTGAATACTATTCAATAGTATTGAATACTATTCTAGTATTCAATACTATAGTATTCAATACTATTCTAGTATTCAATACTATTGAATAGTATTCTACTATTCTAATATTGAATAGTATTCTAGTATTAAATACTATTGATAGTATTCAATACTATTGAATAGTATTCAATAATATTGAATAGTATTCTAGTATTAAATAGTATTGAATACTATTCTAGTATTCAATACTATTGAATAGTATTCAATACTATTGTATTGAATACTATTCTAGTATTCAATAATATTGAATAGTATTCTAGTATTCAATAGTATTGAATACTATTCTAGTATTGAATACTATTCTAGTATTGAATACTATTCTAGTATTCAATACTATTGAATAGTATTCAATACTATTGAATAGTATTCAATACTATTGAATAGTATTCAATACTATTGAATAGTATTCAATACTATTGAATAGTATTCAATACTATTCTAGTATTCAATACTATTGAATAGTATTCTATACTATTCTAGTATTGAATACTATTCTAGTATTCAATAATATTGAATAGTATTCCAAAATATTGAATAGTATTCAATAATATTTCAATACTATTCAATAGTATTGAATAGTATTCTAGTATTCAATATTGAATAGTATTCAATAATATTGAATAGTATTCTAGTATTCAATAATATTGAATAGTATTCAATACTATTGAATACTATTCTAGTATTCAATAGTATTGAATACTATTCAATAGTATTGAATACTATTCTAGTATTCAATACTATTGAATAGTATTCTATACTATTCTAGTATTGAATACTATTCTAGTATTCAATACTATTGAATAGTATTCAATACTATTGAATAGTATTCAATACTATTGAATAGTATTCAATACTATTGATTGATACTATTCTAGTATTCAATACTATTCTAGTATTCAATACTATTGAATAGTATTCAATACTATTATAGTATTAATACTAGAATAGTATTCAATACTATTGAATAGTATTCAATACTATTGAATAGTATTCAATACTATTGAATAGTATTCAATACTAGATTAGTATTCAATACTATTGAATAGTATTCAATACTATTGAATAGTATTCAATACTATTATTGAATAGTATTCAATAAGTATTGAATACTATTCAGTATTCAATATATGAATACTATTCTAGTATTCAATACTATTGAATAGTATTCAATACTATTGATTAGTATTCTATACTAATATAGTATTCAATACTAGTATTCTATATTATTCTAGTATTGAATACTATTCTAGTATTCAATACTATTGAATAGTATTCAATACTAATAGTATTGAATACTATTCTAGTATTCAATACTATTGAATAGTATTCTAGTATTCAATAGTATTGAATACTATTCTAGTATTCAATACTATTGAATAGTATTCAATAATATTGAATAGCATTCAATAATATTGAATAGTATTCAATACTATTGAATAGTATTCAATACTATTGAATAGTATTCAATACTATTGAATAGTATTCAATACTATTGAATAGTATTCAATACTATTGAATAGTATTCTACTAATCAATAGTATTGAATACTATTCTAGTATTCAATAGTATTGAATACTATTCCAATACTATTCTAGTATTGAATATAGTATATCAATAATATTGAATAGTATTCAATACTAGAATAGTATTCAATATAGAATAGTATTCAATACTAGAATAGTATTCAATAGTATAGTATTGAATAATATTCAATAGTATTCAATACTATTCTAGTATTGAATACTATTCAATAGTATTGAATACTATTCTAGTATTCAATACTATTCTAGTATTCAATACTATTCAATAGTATTGAATACTATTCTAGTATTGAATACTATTCTAGTATTCAATAATATTGAATAGTATTCAATACTAGATTAATATTAATACTAATAATATTATTCAATACTATCTAGTATTCAATACTATTGAGTATTGAATACTATTCAATAGTATTGAATACTATTCTAGTATTGAATACTATTGAATAGTATTCAATAATATTGAATAGTATTCAATAATATTGAATAGTATTCTAGTATTCAATAATACTATTCTAGTATTCAATACTATTGAATAGTATTCAATAATATTGAATAGTATTCTAATATTAGAATAGTATTGAATAGTATTCAATAATATTGAATACTATTCTAGTATTCAATAATATTGAATAGTATTCTAGTATTCAATAATATTGAATAATATTCTAGTATTCAATAATATTGAATAGTATTCTAGTATTCAATAATATTGAATAGTATTCAATAGTATTGAATACTATTCAATAGTATTGAATACTATTCAGTATTCAATACTATTCTAGTATTCAATAATATTGAATAGTATTCAATAATATTGAATAGTATTCTAGTATTCAATAATATTGAATAGTATTCTAATATTATTCTATTATTGAATAGTATTCAATAATATTGAATAGTATTCTAGTATTCAATAATATTGAATAGTATTCAATAATATTGAATAGTATTCTAGTAATCAATAATATTGAATAGTATTCTAGTATTAAATATTATTGAATAGTATTCTAGTATTCAATAATATTGAATAGTATTCAATAATATTGAATAGTATTCTAGTATTCAATAATATTGAATAGTATTCAATAATATTGAATAGTATTCTAGTATTAAATATTATTGAATAGTATTCAATAATATTGAATAGTATTCAATAATATTGAATAGTATTCTAGTAATCAATAATATTGAATAGTATTCTAGTATTCAATAATATTGAATAGTATTCTAGTATTCAATAATATTGAATAGTATTCTAGTATTAAATATTATTGATTAGTATTCAATAATATTGAATAGTATTCAATAATATTGAATAGTATTCTAGTATTAAATAATATTGAATAGTATTCTAGTATTCAATAATATTGAATAGTATTCAATAATATTGAATACTATTCTAGTATTCAATAATATTGAATAGTATTCTAGTATAGTATTCAATAATATTGAATAGTATTCAATAATATTGAATAGTATTCAATAATATTGAATAGTATTCAATAATATTGAATAGTATTCAATAATATTGAATAGTATTCAATAATATTGAATAGTATTCAATAATATTGAATAGTATTCAATAATATTGAATAGTATTCTAGTATTCAATATTATTGAATAGTATTCTAGTATTCAATAATATTGAATAGTATTCCAAAATATTGAATAGTATTCAATAATATTGAATAGTATTCAATAATATTGAATAGTATTCAATAATATTGAATAGTATTCAATAATATTGAATAGTATTCAATAATATTGAATAGTATTCTAGTATTCAATAATATTGAATAGTATTCTAGTATTAAATATTATTGAATAGTATTCAATAATATTGAATAGTATTCAATAATATTGAATAGTATTCAATAATATTGAATAGTATTCAATAATATTGAATAGTATTCAATAATATTGAATAGTATTCAATAATATTGAATAGTATTCAATAATATTGAATAGTATTCAATAATATTGAATAGTATTCAATAATATTTAATAGTATTCAATAATATTTAATAGTATTCAATAATATTGAATAGTATTGAATAGTATTCAATAATATTGATTAGTATTCAATATTATTGAATACTATTCTAGTATTCTATATTATTGAATAATAGAATACTATTAAATATTATTGATTACTAGAATACTATTCAATATTATTGAATACTACAATAGTGTTCAATATTATTGAATACTAGATTATTATTCAACAATAGTATACAATGAGACAATAAAAAGCAACTATTCTTCAATTATATTCATTTACCTCCTATGCTTCTTTTTTTATTAGTCAATACTGAATACTTGCCTCAACAACACAAATACATTACATATTACAAATACATGGCAACAATCCCACAATGATTAGGAAAGTAAATCAATGGGTCACTAGGTAACAACATGGCTGCTTTAATTTTTAAGCGTGGGTAACAATCACACGACATGTATGCTTTATTTAACCCCCCAATGCATGTCTCAACCTCTTATACCCGAAAACTATCATACCCATCGTAAAACATTATCTGCTTCCTCCAACAATCCACATTTTTTCATCAATGCCATTTACCATACGGCGCTTCAATACTCAATTATGTTTGTCTAACATTTAATACATTTTACATACATGATCTGTCTATCTTCCCTTCAAAACCTGGCAAGTGCAACATTTTACATGCCCGCCGCCCCACACCAATCACACTAATCATTAAATTTTCTCAATTATAACTACGTACGTCATTATCAAGAGGGTACAAAGCCCGCCACCCTATCTACGCGTCTAAATACAATATAACTATTATGAACCCCATACCACCTGCGTTCTTCCATTCTATTAACAACTCTTATGCTTTTCCCATAATTGATTAAATTGTGAAAAGCATATATGTGTCACATTACAAACAATTATTAATCAAACGAAGGCACCAAACCGGCAACGCTATGTACCACCACCTTATCTAGACAAGCGTCAGCGGGGGGACGGTCGGAAAACACACGTTCCTCCCGCTAATCACACCAATCAAAAACCATATGCAATTACGACAATAACGGCCCGCAGCTCCATCAAATCTCCACGGGTTAAGCGAGTATGGCCAATACGCAACATCCAAAAAGCCCTTTCCCATCGCCTGTTACGGTCCTAGGACGGCTCCCACGACGACTAAAATATAAGTTTCATACTACCAACGGGAAAGGATGGAGGAATGGATAACAGGGTACGAGTCTGAATATCCAATACCTTTACGACAAATGGCACAACACCTCACAGCTTCCCTGGCGGCAGCATCGCAACGCTCATTGAACGAAACACCAATATGGCTGCGAACAAGGCAAAACCCATTTACATTTACTACAATTAACAATCAGCCAATGTTTATTCTAGACAACCACCACATGGACATCCTTAAACCACCCCTACAGCCATCACCACACTACAACCACAAAGGAGGAACGACAAACCCAGAGACGGACACCATAGACAATAGCATAAACTTATGCCGTAAACACGCTACCCTCTGAAGGGAGGCCACACATAACTACGGTCACGAAAAAGAAAGTAGCCACCACCGTCCGCACACTTGCACCCTTCCCTCAAGATGTATTACTAGTTCGCAGTCCAACTGTATTTGCAAGTCAAGCACGTACAAAACTTGCCAAGGGTCACTCTCCACGGAGGCAACGAACGAACAATATCACGAGAAACATTATAAATATAAACACAATCCTGTAAGCAACATAACAGGTCACAAACTCCGTCCTGGTGAAGAGCAACACGAACCCCACCACGGCTAAAATTTAAACCACCACACACAAACGATCTTACAAGGATCGTCCAACATACCTAAGACAGTAGCGATCACACCGGTCCTGGAGACACCACGCCAGTGTCAACATACAACCCGAGGACGAAGTCACACGAAACCGACAACAACTGAGGCGCAACCCAGTATGGTCAAAACTAAGTCATTATCAAAAGGCACCAAACCGGCAGTATATGGTCCAAAGCATCACCACGGCGAAGAGTATTACCACACAAGTAAGCACGCCAACCATAAGAGACCTTACACAGGCCGACAGAGGAATGTAAAGCAACCACACTCAGGCTGTCATCTTGTCAAAGTAACTATCTTTAGATACCACCTTACATCTAAGCGACGTCACTAATACATATATTTGTGCTGCAACCCATCATCAAAATTCACATGGACACCACATTAATACTAACTATAAACAATACTTTTCCACACATGTACTATGTATGATAAAGTGCAATTATGGGCCTGTTACATTCAACTCAACCATTCATTCTCATACTTTTATCTTGACACACGATTCTAAAAACAATGTTAAATATCATATACAACTTATGTATCAATCAATTCCTTGTTTTATTTTACACATTTTATATTTTTTCACATAACATGAATACATTTAAACAAGTTTGGTTTTTATTTCTTAACTATCAATATAGATATAGGTTAAGTATGATGACCAGACCACACACTACAATGTCAAGGCACCACGACGTTTCGGTCCGCCCTGGACCATTCTCAATCGACTTTAGATTGGTCAACGCATGACAAACGTCCCCGTCCAGTCACATTGTAGTGTGTGGTCTCGTCATCACACTTTACCCACGTTGTGACTCAACCCCTGCATAGGTTTAGTAGTACATATTACAAACCAATAAATTCCTATTCTTCAATAAACATACACGGTTACCTGAAGTCTTTTTTTCCCTTTTCTGCTCAAATCACTTATTAACATTGCAAAGTACGATTTAATAACAACTGCAACTAACTACAATCCATTATTGTCATATAGTACATATTGGCACTTATTCCCCAGTTACATTTATCGAGTACGCCTTTTACTATTGTCCCACAAAACTGTGCCTCACCTGTACACTCTACTATTTATGCATTACTCCTATAATGATTGTCAATACATTTTTCATAAAGACGTCCTTACAACACCACAATTCCATTCGACAATACCAATCAATTCTCTTCTAACATTATATAACCACCCACCAATTACTACTTTACTCGTGTATACAATTACGTCTTTTACAAAGCCACCTAGTAACTAACATTTACTCTACACCTCTCAACCTTCATTTCAAACCTTTTGCACAACTTCACGCATCCCTTTCACCATCCACACATTTTGCCCCATCTATCTCTTGCCAACACTCTTTCACGACTTAATACTTAAACACATTCTTCCCCCTCAATACGAGTATATTATGATCTCATCTTTAAATGCAACACTTTCCAGTTCCAGGTACCAAATTCGATTGTAACACTGATTCACGAACCCCCTTCTCTTTATTGTCCAGTCTTCGTATCTGCCAATCTTAACTCCTTTCAGTTCACGGTGTGGGTGGCGTCATCCATCTCTTCAACACATGTTTCTTGCACTTCACCCTCTGCTTCCGTTGTACGTCAAAGTCCGATGGCTCCCATTCCCTCTAACAATCAACCGGCTCCATTACCATCATCTCGCAATTCTAAAACACAAAATAGGTATTTATTACCTTGCCCATTTCAACATACAAACATTATTATTCAAATAGTCACATTTTACAATTACCACACTAACCGGTTTTTAGTATTTATTTACTCTTTTACACTAAAATTTCAACTACATTCACGTCCGCTTTACATTTCAATAACATTCCAATACAATAATTACCCTATTTATCAATTATCTACTCTACTCATTTATGATTCAACAATTCTCCGATATTATATTTACATCTATATATTTTCACATTCATTCACAACACATGTACTGCCCTCTGAGCTCAGTAACGACGCTCTTAGGCTAGTACCCCAACCAACATTCTCCTTGTATTTTCTATTTATACACTGTACTGTATTTCTACATTATACACACACACATATTTAATAACTATTCAAAACAAACTGCATATCTAATAATCATACTATATGATCTACGACTCTGCACTACAATAAACATTTAATACATTTAACATTATTTCGTACCTTGTATGTAAGACGTCAACTTCATTCAACACTTCCAGGTCTGTCCATAAATTACGTACCCACAATGTTATCAACGTCAAAGGTACTCAAGCCTCTCACCTCCGAAAATACATTTTATTCAACATTCATATCTACATGACTATTACACCCACACCCTTCGAAACACTACAGGGGGGGGGGGGGGGGACCACCACCACTATCAACCAATATTAAAGTCGACGCGCGAACTGAGGTCACACACTATCCACAGTTATTCACGAGTCCTAATAAGCAGTTTCCGGAAGCAACACCATCCTGCAGCTAAACTGCATTTCAAGACTTAAGTCTTTGCTTTGAGTCATTCAATGGTCTAAGCCTCGTTGGTTTTAAATCAAATGCTCAAATCCTTCATACATGCTTGTAACAAAACCCATGAGCACCACACCATAAATACAGTTTTTATATTCAAAGAGCAAGACTTAAACTTAAAATGCTCTACAAATCAAGGGACCTACAATGTCAAATGACATTCCCAACCATGTGAATGACTGTACCTCTCCCATCAGTTTAACAAAAAAGCTATACCTATTCAATTCTCTGGCACCTACCTTAACCCACTATTCTCAACCAATGTCTTTTAAACTATGTTTGTCCACGTAATTGTATTTGTGCTGCTTTTTCTGCAATGTTCCCCATTTTTATCTTTGTTCTCAATACTAATTGAGCATACACTAAAGCTTAAACAATAACATGACTTAAGTTTTTCATGCACGAAACACTTTCCGTAAGTGCCTTTAGGCATTGTATGTACTACCCCTATCTATAAATCAATCAGTCTTTGTAAACTATCTTGTATGTACCTTACCTAAATAATGTATTTATTTGTTAAATTAAAGCACTCGCCATGAAACCCATAATATGCCTGTAGTAGTGCTCAAAGTCAAACTTATTTAACAACCTCATTTTTACATTGACACCATCCCCATCAAATTGCATTACTCTCAACCCACACATCTATTTAACACATTCCATTGCCCGCATTCATAAATTTTACATTTTCACCTAAATGGGAACAAATACCTTCCTCCACGGCTTATCCTTACGTAAATTTACTTACCGGGACCTCTAATGGGTGACGCTTCAATATACACAACTGCGTTACACGTCAGTCCTGATTCCGCTATAATTGCCTTACTGGCCACGTTATGAACTAAACATTTGACGTCCTTACATTATGAACCTTTCGCAGTCTTTACATGCTCTTAATATGCCTACTCATCATGTCTATTATATTTACAATTTACTACTAACATTACTTCCTACTGTGTGTTATTGCAGCCACTTCTCCCTCCAACATGACACAAAAACTTAAATTTGTCAACGTCTTCGTTCTCAAACGTACCAAATGCTGATATCCAAAAAACATACACTCACGATTTTCATTTCAACTTAATTCTTTTTTTCAAAACCTCAACAACAATTAGTGCAAAACTACCTTCCTGTCACATAAAACACCTTAAATGTTGTGGAAGTTCTATCATAACTACTCTTCGCCGCCTCAAAGTGAGATTGAAACCCACACTAAATTAACCCTCACCTTTAGTCTGTAGTAAGGGTGCGCGAACCTAAAACCTATCCCCACGAAAATTATACAGAAGCCTATTTATACACTTACTGCCAAGTATTCACCAATAGTGAAGTTGACGCGTATCGCTGTGTTCTTCAACACATCCTGCCAATCTGTCCCAGTATTACCTGCAACAACGCAACAGTTACCAGAGGCTACCAATATAAACGGTGATTCCATGCCTATACCTTTAAGTGGAACCTCTAGTTACTTTACTGAAACAAATTACTGCTGTAGTGCCTCATTTAAATTTGATATTGTTAACACATACATCACACCAGTATAGTCTACGGGTTTGGGAGCTGTTATCTGTGGGTTACCACCCTCTGAGCAGCTAATACTACTAACCACTTTAGTCGATTACATATGTAGTCCTCCAGTTTTACATTTAAAGCCTTAGGGGTTCTTTTATAAAGATTTAAGGGGTTACTACCATATCCTAACAAAATATTACCAAACCTCTAACTTCAACTAGGTAATACACAACTAGCATATCTACCTCAACCAGGACATCTGCCACCAGCTTCTGCTCGCCACGGTCTGACTACAATCATCGCTCCACCACAGATTCCTACCTCACCAATCGGGTCTTTTCACGCGATGCGTCATCGTCACTCCATTACCTCGTTGACTAACAATACCGCTGAAAACAATGAATACATTAATACAATAATATCACCGTTTATATATATTATCCCACAAGAGGATAAGGCACTTGTAATAATTATATATTTTTGACCCTATGTATTCGCTTTTTGACGGTGTACAGAAGTGAGTGTAAGCTAGGGGTATGTCAGCCCTAGCGACCCCAAAGGGTAACGGGGTACCAGCTCAGAGTAACAACACGCCCTAACACTAACTTGTACACCTCTACTACGCGAGTACTAGGGTCAAAATAACGTTCCGTTGCTCCTCGCCGACCACGTCGACTCAACAGCCAATCACCTTCCTCATTTTCACTTGACGTCACATTCTCGCAACCTGTACTCTCATTGGTCGGCTCAACCTAATTCGATACTCTACTAATTAATGATAATTATTTATTGAAACTGAAATATATACACAAAAATGTATACCCAATGTATGATAAACATACATTTACCAAATGTATGAGAAACAATGTTTTACATTACACTCAAATTATAACTTTTCATTACTTATTATTTAATAATTATTATTATAACGATTAAATAATAAAAATAATTCACTGTATACAGTACAAACTGTACAGTACAGTATACTACAGTACACTTCCGTACGGTACGTATATAGTTCCGTACGGTACGATACATTACAGTACTATACATTACAATACAGTACAGTACCGTACACTCTAACTTCGTTAATTGCATTTCAATTGTACCAACGGCATCACCATTATCATTTTTTCGACTTAAATCACTGTTTCGTGATTGTAACAACGCGTAATAAACACCAAAGTTCACGTTACATGGGGAGGGAGCTTCTCTATTTAGCCATCTGGGACTCTATATTCGTCAGATGCTTAAGTCTACCATTGAGTCAGTATAAACATTAGGTGGATATCATACAGCAACAGTTCATTGTTATCGCAATATTACCTTTCCAACCCTTCATTTCCCTACCTAAACAACACCAATGTATATTTATATACGTCATTTAAGCCATAGATGCACACTCCAACTAGTAATAACGATTAGATTTAACATGCAATCAAATAGTCTTTTACATATTTAGGCAAAGTCATCACTCATTTTCGAATAATAAAGATCCTGTGCGTTACACTTTGATCATTTCAACTCTTGTGAGTCGTTTTGTAGACAATGACGTTATCTTATGCTATGTTAAGCTAAGCTAACCAAGCTAGGCTACACTGGACTAGGCTACGGTAAGCTACGTAAGCTTAGATACAATACCATAAAGTACAGGCTACAGTGCAGGGTACAATACACTACAGTACAGTACAGTACCGTTCAGTAGAGTATACTACAATACACCATGGGATAGTGCCTTACATTACAGTACAGTGCAATAGAGGGTACAGTACAGGATACAATACATTACATTTCAGTACAGGGTGCACTACAAAACAGTATTCTACTATATAGTACAGTACTATATACTACAGAACAGTACACCATAGTACATACTATATACTACAGTATAGATACGTACTGTACCGTACAGTATAGGACAGTGAAATAAATTACAGTGCAGTAGAGGCTACAGTACAGGTTACAATACAGTACATTTTAGTACAGGGTATAGCACATTACACTACAGTCAACTATAGCAGAGTAGTGGGGGAGTATGGGGAGAGTGGGGGAGGAGTTTGGGGCAATATGGGGGAGAGTGGGGGAGGATAGGGCAATATGGGGGAGAGTGGGGGGGGGGGGGGATTTACAGATTTACGAGTCCTGCGCGCTATCCACCAGCCTATCAGGCACCCGTGCAGGGTACAGACTACATGTTGGGTAACATTATGTAGGGGTACAGAGTACATGTGGGGGTACAGAGTACAGTATACAAGTACAAACAACATTACACTTGACCCAGACACTTTCTTTATGAATGACATTCAAGCTCAAGATAGTATAACGGATATTAACACGAACTCGGAAGACTTTGAAAGAGAAATTGACAATATGCCCATGCACTCAGCTCCTGGGCCTGACTCATGCAATTCTATATTCATAAACAAATGTAAAGTACCAGTAGCGCGAGCAATCACCGTAATATTGAGAACAATCCTACATACAGGGCAGATACAAGCAGCACTTAAATCTGCAGATATACCTCCTTTGCACAAGGGGGTGAGTAATGCCTTGGCAAACAATTATAGGCCAGTTGCACTAACATCACACATAACACTTTTTGAAAGATTGATTAGGAATCAAATTTCTAGTTTTATGGAAAATAATGAGTTACATAACCCAGGACAACATGGATTTAGAGCGGGAACATCCTGTCTGTCACAATTACTCAACCACTATGACAAAATCACAGAAGCTCTAGAAGAAAAGCAAAATGCACATCTAGTATACACAGACTTTGCAAAGGCATTCGACAAATGTGATCATTGAGTGATTGCACACAAAATGACCTTAATGGGAATAACTGCTAAAGTACGACGCTGGATACTCAATTTCCTGTCCAACACAACACAAAGAGTAACAGTCTATCAAATAAAATCAAGTCCAAGCGCAGTTAAAAGCTCTGTACCTCAAGGTACAGTCCTGGCACCACTGCTGTTCCTTATTCTCATATCAGATATAGATAAACATACAAGTCACAGCTTCGTGTCATCCTTTGCAGATGACACAAAAATCTGCATGAAAATTACCTCTGCTCAAGACATGGAAAAATTACAAGCAAATATCAACAACGTTTTCGAGTGCCCAGCAGAAAATAACATGATGTTTAAATAAAAATACCCAAGCCTACAATATACATCTGCTCTGGACTATATGAAGGGCAGTACAGTGTCAAAAAACTAGCTACACGATGCTAAAAATCCCCATCACACAGGATGGTTAATCACACAGAGGCACGTGATAAGGACTCTGCACTGGCAGATTCCTGGTGCATTATGAGGATATCATGAACACAAGAGTGAGACTAGCGACATAACATGGCTGCAGCAGACCTCGACTGGCGGCCTCATAACCACGCCTCGCACCTCCTGAAGGGTGTCTGGAACCAATGCCACCCCAAAGTGTGTCCATATTGCTCTTTGTCCTTGGCTACCTTATAGGCGTCAAAAATATCATCCCTCAGAGCACACTGCCCTCTGGGTGTCATGGAATCCACAGTCTCTGTGGTGTAGTGGTAAGACACTCGCCTGGCGTTCCGCGAGCGCTTTCTCATGGGTTCGTATCCTGGCCGGGGAGGACTTACTGCGCGCAAATCCTTAACTGTAGCCTCTGTTTAACGCAACAGTAAAATGGGTACTTGGTTGTAACAACGATTCTTCGCGGCGGGGATCGTATTCAAGGGACCTACCCGAAACGCTACGCGTACTAGTGGCTTTACAAGAATGAAACAACTCTTGTATATATCTTTGAAAAACAAAATACAACCTGGTAGGGCTAAGGGCGGACGTCATGGTCCGTTGACAACCATGTCTGGGGAAGTAAGTAATCATCAAAAGAAGGCACCAAACCGGGAAGGCTATGTAGCACCATCAAATGCGCAAAATAATCAGAGGGCGCTAAATATCACCAACGATGCCAATACGACAACAAAAACGCAGAAGGCGAACGATATCAAAAGTATCCGAGTCACCAAGAATTCTATTGAGGGACAGGTGACCGCGAGGGGCGGTCGGAAAGCAACACACACGCTCGTCCTGGAAGTCAGGACATTCAAGAAGGACATGCACGACCGTAAGAGGGACAATGCAACTAGGACAATAAGGAGCAGGGCAGCGCTCCATCAACTGACCATGGGTTAAGCGAGTATGGCCAATACGCAATCTCGCCACAGCAGTTTCCCACCGTCGGTTATGGTGGAAGGAGGACGGCCACGAGGATACACAACATTTAAGAGTACGTACCTTGTTACCAGTAAGAGACAACCAAGAAGCCTGCCAACGGGTAACGACTGAGGAATGGATAAACGGGTAAAAGTCGGAATACAGAACGCCTTTACGAGAGATGGGACAAGAGCGGACAGCTTCCTTGGCGGCAGCATCCGCACGCTCATTTAAAGACACACCAATATGGCTGGGAACCCAACAAAACTCAACCGACTTAAATTTACTGTGAACAAGAAACAGCCAATGCTGGATCTCGACAACTACTGGATGAACCGGATTAAAGGACCCGAGAGCCATGAGGGCACTACGAGAGTCAACAACAACTACAAAGGAAGACTGACAACGAGAAAGCAGGAGACGAAGAGCATAGAGAATAGCATAAAGCTCCGCTGTAAAGATGCTAGTCTCCGGAGGTAAGCGACACATATAAGTGCGATCAGGAAAAACAACAGAGTAGCCAACACCGTCCGCAGACTTAGACCCATCGGTGAAGACAGAAACGGAGCGGGAGTGAGAAGAAAAGTGTTCAAGGAAAAGGCGTTTTAGAACCGTAGGAGGGGTAAAAGCTTTAGTGATACGGGTCAAGGAAGTACAAAACCGCGGAAGAGGGACTCTCCACGGGGGCAAAGAAGGAACAACACGAGGAGAAACATTAGAAATACGAACGGAAAGAGAATCCTGTAGGCGAGATAACCGGACAGAAAGAGGGAGGTGGTGAAGAGGAACAGGAACCGCAGGAGGGGTAAAAGTTAAAGCACGACAGAGGCGAGAGGAAGGATGTTGTAAGGACCGCGCAAGATAGCGAAGACAGTAGCGATCACGGCGGTCCTGGAGAGACAGGAAGCCAGTGTCAACATACAAGCTAAGGACGGGAGTCGAACGAAAGGCACCAGAACTGAGGCGCAACCCAGTATGGTGCAAAGCATCAAGACGGCGAAGAGTAGAAGGAGAAGCAGACGAGTAAGCAGGGCAACCATAATCGAGCTTAGACAGGACGAGAGAGGAATGTAAAGCAACGAGAGTGCGCCTATCTGCTCCCCAAGAAGTATGGGACAAGACCCGAAGGAGGGTAAGGGCCTAAGAGCACTCAACAAGGAGGTAAGAGATATGGGGAGACCAAGACAAACGAGTGTCAAGGAATAACCCCAAAAGCTTTGCGGATTCTTTGTATTCAAGGGGATGACGATAAAGTGACAAAGAGGGGCGAAGAACAACCCGTTTCTGCGTAAAAGTCATGGCACAAGTCTTAGAAGTAGAGAACTTGAAGCCATGATCGGTGGCCCAAGACGACACGGCATCAATTGCAAGTTGAAGCCGGCGTTGAAGGAGAGCCGAATCATCACCCTGACAGCAAAGGGTAAGATCATCGACATAGAGAGCGGAGAAGACACC